TTTCAATTTACCACATTAATTATTTAGTAATATTGACCAGTATGTTTGGAATACATGGCAGAGTTCTAGACATTTCTCTAAACTACTAACAAAAATATCTTCATATTTTCCTCAGTAGGCCTACATGCCACAGCTGCTATTATTACTGTAACCATTACAACAACGACTTCTACTAATAATAAAATATGTAAAAAGGAAACATAAATGACAAAATAAATATTGAAGGTTGAGACACTTATGCAACATATGAGAATCTTTATTCAGGAAACGTTTCGCCACACAGTGGCTTCATCAATCCAATACAAAGTAGAAAGGCGTAAGAAGAGGAGTAGTTTGAGGTAATCAGTCCCTCAGCCTGGAGCCGATGTGTTCAGTCCATCAATCTTGTAGGATGTACAGCATAGGGCCGTAGACGTGGCTTATATACTGTAGTGAGGGGAGGCAAAGCAGGAAGAGGTGGGGTCATAGTGGTACCATCCACTAGTTGAAGTAGGTCTTCATCCAAAGGTTGGACAAGTGTTGAAGAATTTGAAAAACAGACAAGTTGTCGGTTTTTCAAATCATTCATCAAAACTGTCAGACACTGCAACATCATGGGATCTTGTTACAAAGATTTCTTTAACACTTGTCCAACCTTTGGACGAAGACCTACTTCGACTAGTGGATGGTACCACTATGACCCTACCTCCTCCTGCTTCACCTCACCTCATTACAGTATATAAGCCACGTCTACGGCCCTATGCTGTACATTCTACAAGATTGATGGACTGAACACATCGACTCCAAGCTGAGGGACTGATTACCTCAAACTTCTCCACAACCTTCAACTTGTCGGTTTTTCAAATCATTCATCACAAGATAAATATTATGGAGTTGTTGGAGTTATTTTATTACTTGTTAAAGGAAAATAAAAGTCTTTTATTAAGAAATATATATTAAAGCATAGTAACCTGGAGGAGACTATACTGGCACCACTTAACAAGGTCACTGATGGAACCACTCAGTAAGGTCACTGATGGAACCACACAGTAAGGTCACTAGTGGAACCACACAGTAAGGTCGCTAGTGGAACCACACAGTATGGTCACTGATGGAACCACTCAGTAAGGTCACTAGTGGAACCACTCAGTAAGGTCACTAGTGGAACCACACAGTAAGGTCACTGATGGAACCACACAGTAAGGTCACTAGTGGAACCACAATAAGGTCGCTAGTGGAACCACACAGTATGGTTACTGATGGAACCACTCAGTAAGGTCACTAGTGGAACCACTCAGTAAGGTCACTAGTGGAACCACACAGTAAGGTCACTAGTGGAACCACACAGTAAGGTCACTGATGGAACCGCTCAGTAAGATACACAAATAACCCGCACATAGAAGAGAGGAGCTTACGACGACGTTTCGGTCCGACCTTGACCATTTACAAAGTCACACTAACGAGAAGTAGAGCAGGACGGGAATACATAGGAATACAAGGGAGCTAGGTGCCACGAGGGAGCTAGGTGCCCACAAGGGAGCTAGGTGCCCACAAGGGAGCTAGGTGCCCACAGAGGGAGAGCAAGAACACAGGTAAGGGGTCGGTGAATAATAAAATAAATAATGAAGGAACAGAAACACAAGGCAGAAGAAAGAAAGACAAACCAGAAGAGAAAAAGGAAAGAGGAAAGGGGAAGAGGGAGAAGAAGAAGAGGGAGAAGAAGAAGAGGGAGGAACCAGGTTAACTTGTTCCTTCATTATTTATTTTATTATTCTCCCCCCCCCACCTCTGTGTTCTTGCTCTCCCTCTGTGGGCACCTATCTCCCTTGTGGGCACCTATCTCCCTTGTGGGCACCTATCTCCCTTGTGGGCACCTAGCTCCCTTGTGGGCACCTAGCTCCCTTGTGGGCACCTATCTCCCTTGTGGGCACCTAGCTCCCTTGTGGGCACCTAGCTCCCTTGTGGGCACCTATCTCCCTTGTGGGCAACCAGCTCCCTTGTGGGCACCTAGCTACCTTGTGGGCACCTAGCTCCCTTGTGGGCAACTAGCTCCCTTGTGGGCACCTAGCTACCTTGTGGGCACCTAGCTCCCTTGTGGGCAACTAGCTCCCTTGTGGGCAACTAGCTCCCTTGTGGGCACCTAGCTACCTTGTGGGTATCTAGCTCCCTTGTGGGCACCTAGCTCCCTTGTGGGCACCTAGCTCCCTTGTGGGCACCTAGCTCCCTTGTGGGCAACTAGCTCCCTTGTGGGCACCTAGCTACCTTGTGGGCACCTAGCTACCTTGTGGGCATCTAGCTCCCTTGTGGGCACCTAGCTACCTTGTAGGCACCTAGCTCCCTTGTGGGCACCTAGCTCCCTTGTGGGCAACTAGCTCCCTTGTGGGCACCTAGCTCCCTTGTGGGCACCTAGCTCCCTTGTAGGCACCTAGCTACCTTGTGGGCACCTAGCTCCCTTGTAGGCACCTAGCTACCTTGTGGGCACCTAGCTCCCTTGTAGGCACCTAGCTCCCTTGTGGGCACCTAGCTCCCTTGTGGGCACCTAGCTCCCTTGTAGGCACCTAGCTACCTTGTGGGCACCTAGCTCCCTTGTAGGCACCTAGCTCCCTTGTAGGCACCTAGCTACCTTGTGGGCACCTAGCTCCCTTGTAGGCACCTAGCTACCTTGTGGGCACCTAGCTCCCTTGTAGGCACCTAGCTACCTTGTGGGCACCTAGCTACCTTGTGGGCACCTAGCTCCCTTGTAGGCACCTAGCTACCTTGTGGGCACCTAGCTACCTTGTAGGCACCTAGCTACCTTGTGGGCACCTAGCTACCTTGTAGGCACCTAGCTACCTTGTGGGCACCTAGCTACCTTGTAGGCACCTAGCTACCTTGTAGGCACCTAGCTACCTTGTAGGCACCTAGCTACCTTGTGGGCACCTAGCTCCCTTGTAGGCACCTAGCTACCTTGTAGGCACCTAGCTACCTTGTAGGCACCTAGCTACCTTGTAGGCACCTAGCTACCTTGTGGGCACCTAGCTACCTTGTGGGCACCTAGCTCCCTTGCAGTGCTCCCCTTTCTTAGTATTTGACTGGCTTCTCCTTCTTCCCCACCACTACTTCCTTCCACCTCCGCCACTACTACTACTACCACTACTACTACTATTACTACTACTACCACTACTACTACTATTACTACTACTATTACTACTACTACTACTATTATTACTACTACTACCACTACTACTATTACTACTACTACTACTACTACTATTACTACTACTACTATTACTACTACTACTACCACTATTACTACTACCACTACTACTATTACTACTACTACTACCAATACTACTACTACTACCACTACTACTACTACTACTATTACTACTACCACTACTACTACCACTACTACTACTATTACTACTACCACTACTACTACTACCACTACTACTACCACTACTATTACTACTACTACCACCACTACTACTATTACTACTACCACTACTACTACTACTACTACCACTACTACAGCTGTATAGCCCTTGTGGCTTAGTGCTTCTTTTTGATTATAATAATAATAACCACTACTACTACTACTATCAATACTACTACTACTACCACTACTTCTAGTAGTACTACTACTACCACCACCACGGCATGGCCGACGCGGCAGGTTGTGTAGCGGGCTAGCTGCGGGATTTTCAAGGATAGCTCCTGGTCAAAGAGGCTGACCAGGTCCCTACTTAACAGAACTCAGTGTGAATGCTTTGAGAAGATACCAGAGCAGCGAACGGACATCCCAGTGCATCGTTTCAGCGTAAATAGTTGAAGTGTTGTGCAGTTTTAGAGGGTTTGGTGTTGTAGAGTCAGGACCAGTCAGCGCCTCCCCCCTCTCCGCTGGGGGGGGGGGAGGGGGAGGGCGTGTGTAGTAAACAGTGACCCTCTCATAACGCCTCACCTCCGTGCGTCTCCCCCGCCTCACCCACCCAACTCCCAGCGCCACTCCATCTGTAGAGGGTACTTCTCCCCTAACCCGCGATGGCACTGCAGGGAGTGCCGGGCTCACAGGAACTTCCACTATAGGGACAGCATCGTGGAGTTCGACCGCGAGGCAGCTGCCAGGTGTGCCACAGGCAGTGTGTACTCAGTTCCTCAAGCTTCAACATCCGTGCACACGAGGTCCTGGGATCTTCAATCAACTTGGCGTCCACCAGGACGCTGACATGTCCCTAGGGCAGCTCTCCATCGGGCTGCTAACGGAGTCACTGGCTTCTTGGACCTCCTGGGGAGGGTCGATGGTGCTCGTGCAAGCAGCAGATCCCTGGGCAACTTGCTGCTGTTTGCAATGGCTGTCTGCCGAGGAGAAACAGGCACCTAGCAACATCTGTTGTTGGGGCAATGGATGAATTCCCTACTATGTTTGTTAACTGCTCATTACTCTGTAATTTGTCTTCGCTGTATAGTCCTTGTGGCTTAGCGCTTCTTTTTTGATTATAATAATAATCTGTAATTTGCCTATGATTGTAATCATGTCATAACGTGTTTATCATTCATTACCTTTGAAACTTGTCATGATTGTGACCAGCTCTACCTGGAGCTCATTACTTTTGTAAATTCTCATGATTAATGTGTTATGATTCATTACCTTTGCAATTATTCATGAGTGTGACCAGCTCAACCTGGAGCTCATTACTTTTGTAACTTGGTCATGATTATGACCAGATCTAGTTCATTACCTTTGTAACTTGCTCAGCTATCAAAACTTTGGAGTCCAGTCCCTGGACCAATTATGTACCTCTGTAATCTTTTGACTACCGCCCACAGGATGGGTATAGGGTGCATAATAAACATATTAAACTAACTACCACCACCACCACTACTACTACTACTACTACCACTTCCTGCCTAGATATACCCGTCCTGCTCTACTTCTCGTTAATATGACTTTGTAAATGGTCCAAGTCGGACCGAAACGTCGTCGTAAGCTCCTCTCTTCTATGTGCGGGTTATTTGTGTATTGTTCCAGTCACGGTATTGTG